GATGGGTCAGGCTGAGAAGTGGTTGAGATGAATTGGGTTGTGTGGATATGAGTAGTTGAGCTGTAGGGGGTGGAACGAGTTGCTGATTTTGGTTTGTGTTGGCTGGAGAAGTGGTGTGAGTGTGTGAGGGGAGTGGGGTTGGGGGAATAGTGGTGGATGGTGAGATGGTTGGAGCTAATAAATTACCTGGTAACGGGACACTCGAACCAGTGCTGACCGGCGGAGGAGATGGAGCCCGAGATTGCCGCTGTTGAGATTGTATCGGAATTTTTATAGGACGAGGGATATCGAAAGAAATATGAGGGGACTGAAATTTTTTCTCCAACTGATTTTGACCCACAACAACATCCCATTCAATATATGAAAGATTATCTCGCAACTTTTGGAAAAGATTTTCAAATGGAAAAATATTTTCCGAGAAATTGACATCACGAGATAAAAATAACTTGGAAGTTGTAGGTTCAAGACATTGATGGCAGTGGTGTGTTAAGGAGAAACCTAGATAAACACATGGTTTTGAACGTGGTGCGAGTTTATTTTCGGCATAAGGCTTGAGCCATGGATAACAAAGACACCCAAATGTTCCAAGGGATGGATAGTTGGATCTTCTCCAAGTAATTGTTTATATGGAGAGTTATTTTGTAAGTTTAGTGTGGGTAGGCGATTAATTAGAAATGTTGCATGGTGACATGCAAATGTCCAAAAAATGTTTGGCAGTGAGGCTTGATGGAGCAAGGTTTTGGCAGTTTCAATGATACGGCGATGACTGCGTTCTGCAATTGCTACTCTTTGAGGTGTATAAGGTGGGGAAAGGAGATGTTCCATGCCATGGGATTGTAAATAAGGGTCGAGACTCTTAAACTCACCACCACCATCAGTATAGAATGAGACAATTTTTGTTTTGAAATTTTTTTCGACTAATGGATGGAAGTTTTGAAAAATTGACTTAACTTCATTTTTTGTTTTAAGAGTATATAGCCAAATGTATTTTGTGTATTGATCAACAAAGATACAGTAATATAACTTTTTATCAATAGATAAAATTGGAGACGGCCCCCATAGATCACTGTAAACTTGTTTAAGAGGGGTATCACTGGACAATGTGTTTTGATAGAAAGGGAGTCTGTGGACTTTATTTGAGGAACAAAATTACAAAACGAAACTCTTTCCTTTGCGGAAAATGGCAAATAAAATTTATTCAATATAAATTGCATTACTCGAGAGTTGGGATGGCCCAACCGTCGATGCCACAAGTGGAGAGAATGCTTGGCAATAGCAGAAAATGACAATGGTATTTGGAAATTCGGCCACTCGTAGAGTCCATCATTGCCCCGGCCGCACATAAGTGGAGTTCCCGAACTCAGATCCTTTACGAGAAATTTGAAAGGAAAAAAATCAATAGAGACTAAATTATCTTGGCAAAATTAAGAAACATAAATGAGTTTTTGTTTGATAGCATGTGCACAAAGTGTATTGGAGAGCTGGAAAGTAGAATTAGATGCATGCAATTGAGTAGAACCAGTATGAGTTATAGGAATCATGTTACCATCACCCATTGCTATTTCCTCCGTACCAGTGTACTCTTCATTTTGTTGGAGGCTGTGTGGTTCGGTGGTCACATGATGATGGGCACCCGTGTCAAGGATCCATGGAGCTGGTGAAAAATTTGAAGACTTAGAGACGAAATTAGCTCGTGCTTCCATATGGTTGTGTGAACGAGATCGACAAACACGAGCCGTGTGACCGAATTTTTCGCAGAGTTGACATTGAACCCGTGGGATGGATTGCACAGCAGATTGAGGAGCTCCTTGAGGAGGTGGAACACGCCACTGAGGTTGGTGACGATTGTGCGGCGAGCGCCAAGGTTGTTGTTGCAGACGACTTTGTCAATTGAATCTAGAGTTCGTAGAGGAGTAGTTTCCCTTTTGAGTGTATGCGGCTGTGATAGGCGTCACTGGCTTTCGCAGTTCATCATGTTTGAGAAATATTTCATGATTAAGGAGCTTGTCGAATGGCTCCTCATAAGATATTGCCGAGTTTCGGGTTTGAATAGCTGCATAAATAGCGTCATATTCGGGACCAAAACCACTCAAAATTTTGACAATAAGTTCTTCATTTGAAATAGGAGCACCGGCGGTGGCAAGTTCATCGGCAACACATCGTACTTCACGAAGATATTCAGCTATGGTTTTGGTGTCTTTCAAAACTTTCTTCAAAGAGTTTCGAAGGCTGAAAATCCTAGTATGCGACTTATTTGCATACAAGGTGTGCAAAGCATCCCAAGCTTTTTTTTACGTGGTAGCAGAAACAATGGTGGAGGTGATGGTTGGATCAACCGATGTCATTAATGCATTGCGAATAAGTTGATCTTGTCGGAATCAAAGTTTGTAAAGTGGATTGGAAATTTGTTGATCATTGGCAGTGGTTGTTTGTGATGGAGCGTGTGTTGTTCCATCAAGATAAGAGTAGAGATCGTGCCCGTACATGAGCGAAGAGACTTGGGATTTCCAATTGGCAAAGTTGGAAGCTCCTGGGAGTTTCATTGGCAATTGAGATGCTGGATTAAATTGAATTAGTTCAGCAGTGACTGCTGCAGTAGAGGAGCCGGAAGTCATGGCTGAAGGAAAGAAGAAAAAAAAAATGGAGTTACTCGTTGGAGTGTTTGTGGCTCTGTACCATATAGAGTTGTATAAGAGATTGAAAATGAAGCTTGTTTATTCCATTCATTTACACGTAATTATATAAGCATAAGAAACAAACCCTAAACAAACTCTCAGTATGTCTAGGAGATATAAGATAAATACAAATCAAGAATAACAACCTAATAATCTACAACTTAATAGACGGAACGAATCTCGGACGGTTGAAGATAAACTCTAATAGTCTTGAGCCAATTTGCCTCTATATTCAACACTCGCGTGTCATTGATGCCTAAAAGAATACTTGAAATGTTCAAAAAAATAAAATTGAAAAATGGCAGCAACAAAATGGTAGATAAGAAAAAAACAGCGAGAGAGCGGAAAGAAAAAAATGAAAGAGAGTGAGAAAAGAGTAGTAGAAGGGAATAAACTGCTCCAGTTATTAGGGCAATTATTAGGAGGTTATCCTTTTCAATAGGCTTGACTAATCTATACTACTTATAAAAGTAGGGGAAATTTGCTAGACACCCCTTATTTAGGACTTATATAGGTAGAAGTCCTAGTTGCTAGATGGATATAGGCCTAGGTCCTTTCACATAAAAAATAATATAAATTAAATAACAAAAAAAATATATAGACATAAGTAGAGCTAATTGCATAGAACCCCCTATGAAAATTTGAATGGTTAAAAAACCCCTCATGTTAAAAATATTAGCATAGACCCCCCTATATTGTTTTTGACAAAGCACACTGGTCCTTATTTCGAAATTAACGGTTGAATTTTATGAAATGACTAAAGTAACCCTCATATTTTTTAATAATTTATGTTTCAATTAAATAAATAAAATGCAAAAAAATTAAAAAGAAAGAAAAAGAAACCCAATTCTTCCATAAGCCCTCCGCAGCATCACCTCCACCACGTCCGCACCACTGCCGCAACCCAATTCTTCCATCGAGCCTTCCGCCGCCGCATCACCACCACCACGGCCACATCACCACCACCACGTCCGCACCACCGCCGCATCACCACCACCACGGCCGCACCACCGCCGCATCACCACCACCACGTCCGCACCACCACCACAGCCGCACCACCACCGCCGCATCACCACCACCACGTCCGCACCACCGCCGCATCACCAACACCACGGCTGCACCACCGCCGCATCCCCACCTGCTTTCCCACCCCCAAAAAAAGATATGCTTTATGTTTGATGGGTTCTTTCATATCTCTTGTAAATCAAGATGTTGGATCGAGGTACGTTTTGTGCGTGTGTGTATTGTACTGGGGCCTGTGTTTTTTGTGCTTGAAGTGCTTTTTTCTTCCGGCGGGTTTAGATGGAGGAAGCAATTTTTGTTGTTTTTTCTTCTTTTGCAAATGGGCAGGTTATTATGAAGATGAATCGGTGGTTTTTGTTTGTTTTATTTATTTTTATTTGGCGAACAGCAGATCTGAAGGAGAGGGGAAGAAGATGATGGAGTTTTGAGAAATTATGAAAATTGAAATTTGGTTCTATGCAATTTGGAGAGAGGGCTTTTCTGAAATTAGTGGGGATTGAATTGAAAATTCTGAAAACTTCATTTTGAGCTTATGAAAAATATTTTGGGTAAATTTATAAATTTCAAAAATTTATTTAAAGGGTATTTAGGTCTTTCTAGTTCATAAACACGAGGCCCAGTCGCACAAAGCGCGAGTGTATAACACATCGAGCTCGTAGGGTCTTTTTTGGCTTTGACTATTTTTCACAGGGGGTTTTGTGCTAATATTTTTAACACGAGGGGTTTTTCAGCAATTCGAGATTACACAGGGGTGGTTTTTGCAAAAAACCCACATAAGTACCCTAATTGAATAAACATATTTTAGGGGAATCAGTTATTTACGTAAAGTTATGAAATCAAATCCCACTAATCACGATTGAAGGCAGAGTATCTTGTGAGACGCTTGGAAAACATCGATTCAAGTGAAATATGAGATTATCACGAAGAGTTCGAGAAACCAATATGAGCGTATTACAATTAAACGCGAGAGTCGTGTTGATAATTAGTGAATCTTTTTTTTGGCCTGCAATCAACATGAAAATGAATTATACACAAAAGTTTGTCAATTGATGTTTGTTGTTTTGAATTTTCGATTTATTAATCGTCGTTTTTACAACTTAATTTTCGCTCAATATTGTTTGCAGTTTATCGTTCTCCACAAAATTGGTGTTCATGTATGATGTATTGGTATCGGTGAAGAAAGTGTCGGATGGAACGAGTTATAAGAAATTAGTTGACTTTGTTTGCTCGAAGTGGAGTTGCCTATATCCGGATAATTTTTCATTGACGTATAATTTGTTAAATCACGGGGAATGCGTCCTGATGGATGACGAAGATGTTGGGGTGATGATGGATTACGTTGAAAAATTTTCAATTAACGAAGTATTTGTGAAAGTTACCTTAAAAGATGGTATGTTAGCAAATGAGAACGTGGATATTTTTGATTCACCAAATGAAAACCAAATCATTACAGTTTATGAAAATGCAACGTCGGCTCGAATATCACCCGGGGGATCACAGAACGAAAGGACAATGTTGAGTGCAAAGTGGAGTTATGTAATACAAGATGTGGGGCAAGTATTTGAAGAAGGGGTGGAAAATTTTAGAAAATGTTTAGTAAAATTTGCGTATCAGTGCGGTTTTCAATTTGAGTATTTGAAGAATGACAAAAGGAGGGTGACTGCTGTGTGCAAATACAAAGAAGCTAAAGTTTTCCCTTGGAGGATTCATACTTTTGTAAACATAAATAATGGATTTTTCTACATAAGAACTTTCAATAAATATTGTGGTGTGGTACTATGTCGTTCGAAAAAAATTAGAATAAGTACAGAAATTGTGGGTGAATTAAAGGTTGGTGACATACGAATCATGCCACGAATGACGCCTACCGATGTTGTAGAACAAGTTAGGGATAAGTACGGAATCAACGTTACTTACTATGTTGCGTGGAACGCAACTAACAAAGCCAGGGGAGCGGTTTTTGGCGATCACCGATCATCATACTCTGCGTTAATTGCGTATTTGAAGGAAGGAGAACGTGCCAATCCTGGTAGTGTGTTCGATGTACAATACGTTCAAGAGACTTTGGCATTCAAACGATGCTTCATTGCGTTTAGTGGATGCTTAATTGGTTTTCGCGCTTGTCGGCCAATGATACAAATTGATGGAACATTTCTTAAGGGCAAATTTGGCGGTATTCTTCTCAGTGCCGTGTCAAAAGACGCTAACGATGGTTAGTAATTCAAAATTTATTACATAATTTTCTTGGTAGTAACTGTGTGTACTGAATGTGTTAATTTTTTTTATGTTGAATGTGTTAAATGTGGTATGTTTTACGAGTTCTGAATGTGTTTCAAATATACATGTAAATTGCGTATAATAGTTTTGTTTTTTTATGTAAACTGCAAATTGCAAATTGCAATCATGAACCAGTATCTGCGAACTGCAAACTTCATTGTTGTGGGTTTCACCATTTTTTACCAACGACAAATGTTATATATATTGCAAAAGACAAAGATCATTGCTTCCCAGTTAGTGTTCGATGTACAAGCAGTATCATTTTTAATCTGCATTTTTTAACATGTCAAGCAGTATCATTTTTAATTTTTTTTTATGCATCGTATTGTTTGATGCATGAGTTTTCCCTATTGCATTTGCTATAGTTCACGGGGAAAACGATGATAACTGGGACTGGTTTTTAGCATTGTTAAAATATGCAATAAAAGACGATCGTGTGTTCACGTTTATTTCTGACAAGCAACATGGCATTCTGGTCAGGGTTAAAAAAGTGTTTCCAGACTCTTTTCACTCCTTCTGCCTCAAACACATGACAGGTAATTTGAACAACAAGTTTAAAGGGGTCCCAACTGGTTACATGGAGGCAATCGTTAGCCAATTTATATCATGTGTATTTGAATTCTCAAAGACATCGTTCAACAAGAAGATTGAGAAGCTCAAAGCCAGTGGGTCAACCAGAATTGCCAATTTTTTGAATGACTTGCCTTATCACAATTGGGTTGCCTTATCACAATTGGGCGAATGCGTATTTTGATGGGCAACGATATGGTGAAATGTATTCAAGTGGCGTTGAATCATGGAATTAAAAAAATCGCGACTTACTAGTTATGACTATGATAGATGCAATTAGGAGTGCATTGATGAAAAAGATGACCTCAAGGAGAGATAAATAATCCAAGTGATCAACCATATGTTGCCCCAAGTACGAGAAATCTTTGGGAGAGCTTGAACTGGAATGTAGGACACGGAAAGCTGAGAAGGTGCAGATGGTATTTACGAAGTTTTTAGTGACCCGTCCATGGTCGTAGATTTGTCACAAAAAACTTGCACATGTCGAAAATGGCAGATACTTGGGTTCCCGTGTGTTCATGCGGTCTATGTATTAGTGAATGAGACGTCATAACCGTACGATTACATTAACACATTATATCACGCATAATACTACAGGGAATGTTATGTCTCACCCATTTATCCATTTGTGAGACACAATTCAAGGGATGATGAAGTTTGTGTTTGCCCTCCTGAATTTAAAACACGTCCTGGTAGACTAAAGAAGAAGAGGATACCGTCTGTTGGGGAGAAGATAAAGAGGAAAATAAGATGCGAGAGATGTAAATAACTCGGTAATCACAACAAGAAGTCTTGTACAAATCCGATGTATTCTTAGGGGTGATGCTTTTTTTGTTATGCTTTTTATGTTTCGTTTAAGAACTTGTGCTATGATTTTCAAGCTTCTTTTTTTGATTTTTTTTTGTTTATTTTTTATTAGCTTATGTTGATGTTTTACCATTTACAATGAAATGAACAATTTAGCAAATGGTAAATTTTGATTAGCTTATGTTCATGTTTTGATTAGCTTATATTCATGTTTTACCATTTAGCAAATGGTAAATTTGCTACAGAAAACAAACACGAAGTTATTCAACAAATACATAGTTCCATTTTTAATGTTGTAAACAGCAAACAACAAATATCAAATAACAAACTACAAACTTTTACAGCGTTCAGTGAAACTGCCGACTTTGTTTGGTTCATTACATCGCTAGTTGCACTAGTTAGCAAACAATATGTGTACAACACGACGCATAAAATTATACTTTAAGGAGCAAACGTGTAAAACTAGTAATTATCTTATTTGTTAAACGGTCCTACTTAGTAAATAGCGTAAAACTGAAATTGCAAACATAAAAAAAGTAACATAAACAACGAGAAAAGTACGTCAAGTAAGTCCAAGTACCAAAATAGCAACAACTAGTAGAGTACGTCAAATTATAGAATAATACAAGGATGTTTTACAGCAAAATTATAATTTTATCAAAATGCAACCAAATTAATTATCAAAATAGCAAGAGTTCAAGGTAGTTTCTAAAATCTGATAGCAAGAGTTCAAGGTAGTTTCACAGTGTGTTCATCGTTCATCGTTTAAGAATTGATGAACAAAGTCACTTCGTAATACGCATATCCCATTTTGTGCATCTTTAATGTCTAAGGGTTCTTGGCGACAAAATTGTCGTGCGACATAAAGGCCAAACAACCCGCAGTCAACCGAATCAGGTTTTTTTTGTGGTGATGTCAAAACGAAAACTAATTTGGCCTTTGACTTAGTACCAAATTTCATCTTCCCATTTGCAATCTGCATGAAACTCTTCATTTCTTTGGCATCAACCAAGAATGGATCTTATTTTCCGTCCAATCTTCTAGGCAATGAGGAGTTGAAATGCTCCCACGAGCAGTTAATCCTATCATAAACAAGTAGAGTCCAGTGGGGTATTCTATTCATGGGACATTTGTTAGAGTAGATGACCAACAAGCCAACATGTGGCTGTGGTCTTTCGTATTTATTATTGTAATAAACGAACTTTTATTAGTATTAATGATAAAAGACCTTGGCATTCTATATCTTTGTCCCTTTGTCACAAGCATAGATATAGTCCTTACAGTTATTACAAGTACAAGTAATTGATCGTTAGGATCGTGAGATATTTACTTAAGTATTATAACTGTTAAACGTGTTCCTAGTCGAAGGGTTACTCCACCAATGAGGATATCGGCCTTTCCCATTAAGAGCCTAGCACTTAGTGTATGTGTACTGCATCTCATCAGTAAACGGTATTGTGATATCGGCATGCATAAGTGGGTGCTCGTAAGTTGACGAGTTCACTGAACTCCCTCACCCTAGAAATCTATGGTTCCCAATAATCGAGTAGAGATATCTATGGTATAGTTGTACACCATTAGTCCTTATGACCTAGACATCACCGTGACTTCACTAGAGGACCAGCTGTATCGTGACCTGTCCCTGAGTTGCACCGAGGACCATCCCAAGGGCCAGTGTTCGTGCAGTCCGAAATCTAGTGGGAGGTCTGTGCATTGTAGTCGGGGATTCGATCGCTAGAATAGTCTTGGATGTCCTGTGTGTTCTGATAGGTTGTAATCAATCTAAGTCTCTGGCCAGAGCTGACTAAGTGATGATTAGAGAATTCGATTCTCTAAGTCATGCACGTAACGATTACAACACTTAGAACGATCACACGGTCATTGAACATATAAAGAGGTCTCGACGAACCAATGCCTCTAGTTCAATCGGGACATATGAATCGAAGGGACCGTACTGTATGTTAACTATATCTGAAGGTTCTTGCAGGCACTTCATTTGTATCTAGGGAATCAGGACGCGTAGTTTCTAGACACCAATCTTGATTCGTTGGGTGATTAAGGTGAAATGAGCTTTATCTTAATCGTAACTCTAAGGGACGAGTTTTGACCACAAAGGGTTGTGGGCCCACGGCTAGCTTACACCTGAACCATCGAGGGTCACACTGCTCGTGCACATGAGATCTTTGAATAAACGGTCAGAGATAAAATGGTTTATCTTTGCATGATTGGAAGTCAATATGATTGGGTCCAACATTCATAATTTGGAATTATGAATGAGAATAAGAAGAGGAAAAGAATAGGCGAACATTGTAGTGGACTTTCTAAATCGGGAAGTTTCCAAATTTAGAAAGTGCACTGAACTAGGGTTTCCACTTTTGGAAAGTTGAAATTGAGAGTTGGCACTCGTAATGACGAGGAAATTATACTGATTCCGAAAATGTAATCGTTACAATTTTTCGATCATTGAATTGAGAGAGACGAGCAAGTAAAAGAGCTAACGAACTTAAGCTGTTGGGCCCGGTCCAACTTAAGCCCGCTACGGTTATATGCAAGACACTATAAATACTTGATTTATAGGTCTTATACACACACAAGACAAAACCCTAACCCTAGCGGCTCTCTCTCTCTCTCTCGTTCGGCCATCTCCACTCGGCCACCGCGCCGTCGCCGGAAAATCGCCGGAATCGGCCATCCGTTGGCCGATCCTTTTCGGTATTTCTTTCCTTCTTTCTTTTCTTCCGTTTTTCTAACTATTATGTGTCTAGTGCCACTTGTTTGGTAGATCGAAGTATACGAGGTGAAATCCGAGAGGAGGAAGATCGAAGATCAAAGAATCGAGGAGCAGCGCACGAGCCGAAGCCGCACGCATCCCCACGCGCCGCCCGAAGACCGCGCGTGAGTCACATGCGCCGCCGTGGCCCGTCTCGCCGCTGCTGCCGCTCAATCGCTGCTGCCCCGGATTGTACGGATTGGTTTCCGTAGCAATCTCGTCTTGCTTAGTGCGCCTACCTCACGCTTCAAGAGGTAAACTCACGAATTCATTGTTCTTGATTCGTTTACGTTTAAATAAAATGTTCATGTTCGTTTTTGTTTGATTTTATGTGAATACATGATATCGTTTTATTTGTTGCGAGCATGTTATTTGATTTAAACGCGAGCATGCTAATTGATTTAAATTCGGTTAAATAATTAAGCATGTATGTTGTTTTTAATTTCGCTTGAAGCGCAAAGGTACGCAATTAATTGTTTTCAATTATCGGGCATGTGTTTATGTGTTTTAAATTGTTTAAATCGCATAAAATTTTTGTTTTCCGCTGCGTACACGTGCCCGTTACCCAACAACCTTCACCTGAGTTTAACGGGAAAAATAAGTAAAGGTAATTGGTCACATCCTTTCCCGCCATGAAGTGTTGTACCATTTGAGTTGGTTTCATATTTTTTCGTATAACTCCCTGAAAAACATAAGATATTACTTACATTACAAATCTTGTGTTTAAGACTTATAAACAAGCTTAGATTATATATACCAGAAGCAAGCTGGGGAATATCAGACTCTTCCCCATACGTGTGGGTCTACGCCGCTTGCAAAATGCTATTCATCTTGTTGTTTCATCAAAAGGTACGCACAAGAGTCCATTATCTGCTTATGCCATAATAACCAACCATTTCGAATAAAAAATAAATCAACGTGCAAAATATGAGAAAATATCTAAATGTACGTACATATACGGTATACAAATGTTAACTACAATTTCAATGTACAAACACTGTATAACAGACTGCAAACACCAAACTACAAAAACATATTGCAAAAAACCAACATGATAAGTACCACAAATATAAAATGTAAACATCACAATATACACACTAAACTGGAATAACAAAAGACAAATATCCATGTCTAAAGTGCAAATCACAATAAATAACAAATTGCAAACACCTAACTCAAAACATCCAATTTAGTAAACTGATTATCCAAATGAAAAATAAAATGTGCAAACAGCAAATTGTAAATATCAAAATCCAAACCACACATACTAACTGACAAAATGCAACAAGTGCCAATATCGAAATGAAACAATCATGACATACTTACATTTCATGTGGCTGATTTCCTCTCCAACAACTTGATAATATCATCCAAATTTATACTTTCGTTCATATTTGAATTAACACCATCCCAAGGAACGTGGCTGCATATATAAGACGTTTTACGTAATAAAATGTTAAACGTAATATTTTTTAAATTAGTAAAATATATTGAATATACTTATTTACGTAATAAAATGTTAAATGTAATATTTTTTACTTACTTTAGTGGAAACTGATCTGGAATGTTACTGAGTTTCAACATGTCATCGCTTGGCAAAAGTTTGA